AGAGGGCTCCTAAAAGCTTCTAGAGACTTCCAGCTCTAACAGATGACATGTGGCTTAGGGTACAACTGCTCCACCCATTCCAGACGTAGTACCTGGATGGTTGAACAGTTTCTTTGGAAGAGTTGGCATGGTTTATATAGGGGTTTATTGCAATGTGTCCCCACCTTGCCTGGCTGAGCTGTATAAGACAGCTCTGTACTAAGTCCAGAACTAATAAAATGTGGTTTCTTTTCTTTGACAAACCCGCTAGAAAAGCAAGCGGCAGTGTTTAATGCAAACAAAGTGCTAGGGCAAAGGGATTGTTTGGTTTGTTTCTAGGTAGGCAAGAAAATGGGGTATTATCAGTAAAAGCACCCCTGCTTAATTGTCCCTCTCCCAGTCCCTTGTGTTTTGCCCTGGACAAAGCATGTTTCCTGAAGCTGGAAAGAGCTGCAGCTTGATTCCAAGCTCAGCTTCCGAGGGTCCTCCTTGATCAGAGCTGTGCCAGGCTTTCAACATGAGTGTGACCTCTGGCCTCAACCAGCCTTTCCTGAGCTGAGAACTTCAAGCCCTTATAACAGTGTTGAACCCTTATACAAGATGGGGTGTTAACTGTGGGGTGGTACCTGTAAGCTGACTATTATAGAGTCTCTAATGTTTCACTAAGCACCACTTGCTTTCAAAGTCAGCCCTGGAGCCCCATGACCTTGTGTACGTTTTCAGATCTCACCTGTTTTCATACACTTGCAGCCACATACCTGTAACAAGTCACAATACAGGTTTCTCAACTATCCGCGGGCATGAAAAGCTTCAACACGAGCTGCTTCAGTTGACCCGTAGGTAAGCTCTGTATGGTAAGAAGCAAGCTCAGGTGAGTCTTGCCACGAGAGGGAGACATCATGCATGTAGCCCATGTGTTCCCCGAGCACATCCACCTGGATACGACTGCCTAGCCTGGTATTTTGTAGCATGTCTGGGCACATGCAGTTGTTAGTGAAGAGTGAGAACCCAAACTTCGGACCTCGGTTATGCGGTAGGTACCTGTGATAGGAAACAGGGATGTATCTGTTGGCTAGTCATCATCTTCCAAGCATCCATAGCATGACTAACAGCCACAAAGCACACAGAAAATGGAATCTTGATCTGCTAGCAATAGGATAGCACGTGTCTGGGCCTCTCTGGTTCAGGTCAGGGACATCCTGGTGCAAGCAGGACCGTGCAGCACCGACGGAGATGTTTCAGATACCTGCAGCTGGCTGGCGAGGCCGTTCCCTGTTCATATTGCAAACAGCCATTAGAAAGGCTGAGCTACACCCTGTAACCAGCTCCAGCAGGCTGGGCCAGCAGGAGTGTTTGCACAGAGCTGTGAAAACACAGTGCTGCGAGCTCTGCGGCACCCAGGGCGCCTGCTGCCACTCGGGAGAGGGCCTCTGCTTCCTCAGCACCAGCCGGGAGATTTCATGGGAGAGGAGGCCTGATCAGGGTGCATGGGATGGCTCCGTTTCCCCTCCAGATTGTGCTGCATTTTCCCATGGCTGCAGCACAACAGCGAGGCTCTGTTTTCCTTTGGGAAGGGAATAAGCTGCTTCATCATTGTGATCTCTGTGCAGTGTCCTGTTGATAAGATCAGTTAACAGCATCGGAGGAAAACTCTAGATTCAGGTCTGAAATATAAAGTGAACAGGGCCTATTTGTTTAATTTGAGCTTCTAAGGTTTAAATCCCAGAGGAAATTAAATTAGGTGCCTAGAGCAATGGCAGTCTGTCATGTTTATTTGCTGGGAATGTCACCTTTAATATCATGCACATATAACGTGTGTGTGTTAATGTAATGGGGTATCATACTGTGCAGGAGCAGGCATGCTACAAGAGCTGGAAATGTGAAATATTGTGAGTGAGGGAGGCTGAGATGGGATTGGATTTATTCTCATCCTTCTCCATAGGAGCAAAGACTCACCGGCATGAAGGTGGTTTTGCTGATTGCAGGTGGGGATGGCAGCCTGATCTATGAGCACAGGCCATAATGCTCCTGGGCCATTTTGATTGGGCTACTTCTAAGAGGAGAAATCTTGCCTAGATGTGAAGGCAGGATGACAGTACCTCTTGCTTCAAAGCCCTCTTCGGCAGTTAGTGTGCTGCAGACACATGCCTTCCCCCCTGCATCCTCAGGAGAGCCAGTTCCCTGAGCTGAGGATGTGGCTGCTTCTATGTTCAGTTGCACCCATGCCTCAGAGACTCCCTTCTCCAGGAGGAAGAGCTGTACCCAGCAACGTGAGGCTGTAGGGTTTGGGGTGGTTTTTTTTTTCCTGTCTCCTGTTGTTAAGGACAGGCTCTGAGTGACACACTGTGAATGTCACTGCAGCAGTTTGTCTATGCAGGCTTGCAGAGCAGCTCTGCAATCCTTTCCCATTGCTTTGATCTCATAAACACGGGCCACGAGACAGTTGAGCTGTGGACTCCAGTCCCAGTGCACTTGTCAGACCCTTCAGGAAGCCAGTTCAGATCACTGCATCAGTGGAATTTGGTTGGTTGGGGCTTTTCTTTTCAGCTGGATTACCAAAACTCACTGAGAGGGGAAAGCCATCAGCCATCTCAGGGGGTTGCACCCCAGGTCAGTGCTAGCCATAGTGCTCCACCTAGCTTTGTCCTTACTCTGGGAGTCTGTGGTTTAGCCTGGACTGACTTATCCCCCCCTTCACTCTCTCCACCCTTTGCTGTTTACTGCTGCATACCCTGTCTTGTTTTGCCTCCAGCCTCGGAGCAGCTGGCTGCCTTGCACACGTGGTTCCCATTTCTCTCCTGCCTCTGGCACCTCAGGAGCGCCCAGGGGTCTTCCTGCTGCGCTTGTCTTCTCGTCCCCTTGCCAAAGCCACGGCTCCTCATTGCTGCTCTCTCACCCATCCCAACCTCTGGCATTTTTGCTCATCCACGAATGGCTGAATATTCATTTCCTCCTTGCTGCTTTCCCTGATTGCTGCGAATACCAATTCCTCCTCCTTTTTCCGGCTGTTCTGTAGATTTTGATGTCTGCCAAATTGTTTTCATTCCCTCACCCCATTGCAGGCTGCACCTCCGCAGAAAGCGATCTGCTCCACGCAGAGCCCCGGCTCCCCACCCAGCTCTTCCTTGTGAGCTGAGCGATCAGGTTGCCCTCCTGCCTCCAACACAGACAGACAGCTTCCTCCTCCTGCAACTAGTCAACAAACGGGTGTCTCCAGTTCAACAGGCAGAATAGTTACAGGCTCCTGCAAGGAGACTGCAGCACTTTGCGGTGGTACTGTGTGTTTTAGTGCAATGTTCCTCAGCTTGCCAGTCTGCAGATTGGTGCCAGGTTGCAGAGTCCTGTCCAAAGCAGCAAGCTCCTGGCTCCTAGCTAAAGCAGGTTTTTTTCAGGCTGAGGTGTGATCAGAAAGGCCTGATAGAGGTGCCTGCATCCATACTGAGCAGCTCGGTCATAAGCCCTGGCCTGGAGCCTGCTTGAAGCTAGGCAAAGAAAGGAATGTAGTGGAAAGGGGGGGGGTGCAGTTCCCTCATCCCCTGGGAAATCTGTCAGCAGTGGCAGCAGGGTGACAAGGTTGAAGGGTAGGCACCTGATAGCTCTCAGATCTGGATTTGGTGTTTCCAGATCTCTTGCCAACAAAGGAAGAAAGGGAGACCTGAATCTTGCCTTTCTCTTTCTGTCCAATAGTCCTGCTAGTGTGTGACCAAATGGAACTCAGAGGCTTTCACTTGCCAAACAGCCCATGTCACCCTGCCGATCACCTGCTCCTTACTGGTGTTACTGGTACCAAGGAGCTGGTGGGCATAGGAGGTGGGGCTTTGTGGTGGCTGCCCGTCTTCCAAATGTGAGCTGGAGGGGAAGGCAGAGAGGAGTGGGGCTGGGCACATAGCTCCATCAGTGTTTGGTGCTGAAGTGGTTCCTTCTATGGGAGGGAGCACAGAGTTCATTGCTGGAGAGAACAGAAAAAGGGAAGAGTAAGAAAAGAGGCACTGGGGAGGTAGTTGCTGCAGGATGGAAGGCAATGCCAGAGATAGAGGAAAAGGTGGAGTGAAGAAAGGAAAGGAGGAGCAGCAAGGGAGAAACAAACCTGTAGGCTGAAATGGAACTAATCTGCTGGATACTGCTGCAACCTAACTCCCAGGAATGCCACTGCAAGGCCCCCTCACCGCGTGGGGATGTTTGCCTGGTCCTGCACTGCTGTCTCTGCTCCTGTGCCAAGCCAGCTGGCCTGCCTGGAGCTCTGGCCTTTATGGCTGTTGTGAAGAGAGGCAGGACGTGTTTGCTTTTGGCTATCACATGCTTTTGTAAGAGGGTGGGAGTTCCTCCCCTTGAATTCCTGGGGCTGGTTTTCCCCCCGGTGTCTCTGGTGTATGTGACCTGGGGAGCTCCATGGGGCCAGGGTCGTAGCCCTCAGCTGCTTTCCTGGGCTGCTTTGTGCATCCCAGCCTGGCTTTGAGATGAGCTAAAAGCTTTCTTAGCACAGGCATGTGTGATACAACATGGAGGTGCCTGGCGTAGGCACCTCTGGGACCACCTCCCGTACCCAGCATCTGGTTCATCTGAATGATGTGCTGCACTCGGGTCAGAACCCTCCCCGTGCCCAGAGCACCAGCTCTGTATGGGTCCCTGTGCTGCTGTTTCTTGATTAAACTGAGCTTAACTTCAATGGATCAGATGAAAGCGGCTGTCTCCCACTGTCTCTCCAACAGTTGTTCTCCTGACCCCTTTTCCTTCTTCCCCACTCCCTGTGTCTAAAGCTGAGCCTCTAATTTTAGACTAAAGAAGATAATTGAGGGTCAAAGAAAGACTGCTGTATAATTTTAACTTTTTTTCTTTCAGTGGTTGGGGTGGGAAGCAAAGTTAGGAGCTCCTTGCCCTCAAACCCTTGTATTGCAGGAAAGGAGGACATGGAGGAAGGAGTGAGCTGGTACAGTCTGCTCTCTGCAGAAGTCGTTCCGTTTCTTGGCTATTAGCTAAAACTAGGAGTGTAAAGGCGTAAACTACTCTTATTTCCTTTGCAGATCCTACTGACTGAAGAGTTCGTAGAGAAAATGCTGGAAGATTTAGAAGATCTGAATTCTCCAGAGGAAGTAAGGCTACGTCATTCCCATATCTCCCATGTACTGTTCCAGAGAGCTTAGCCCATCCTGCAGCTTGACTTTGATCCTCCCCTCTGCTCGCAGGCTGCAGCCTGCATCGTAGACATGAGGCCTTGCTAAACTTTCACATCTGCTGTGACCTAAGGCACTGAGAGAAGGGGTTGCAAGAAGTACGGGGCAGGGATGGGTATTAAGCGAGACTCTGCATTTCCTTTCCACCAGCATCTTTCCCAACATGGTATGTGAGCACCCCAAATCAAGGTGGTGCAGCCCCTGAGCCAGGTGGAGGGGTTTCCTTCATGCCATGCATAGTGCCTTCCACAGGAGCACCAGGCACATCACCTTCCCTGCTTTGAGAAAGGCTGAAAGTGGTAGCAGTACTTTTACTGCTGAGCAACCTGTGATAGGGGCCTCCATTCTGGGGCCTGGGGAGCAGGGAGGGGGGGGTTCACATCTGCTGCTTGGCCTTCACTTGCCAAGTGAAGGAGAGGACCATCACCAGCCTGGAAGCCGCATAGCAGCAGCCAGGGGAGCTTTACAAAGCTTTGCCGTGCAGTACTAAACTTCTCTCTGCCATGTGAACCCTTCCTGGGGAACATTTAACACCCTGTCTCCCATGCATGCCATATAAATACTCTGCTTGACTTCAAAGAGCAGTGGCAGAAATGACATGTAATATTTTTAATCCCATTTTTTACAGCTCCCTGCAGACTCTAAAGAAACTTTGCTTGGTTTGTAGAGCAGCCCTCCCATCCCTCACCCTGCTCCCTTCCCCCCATGAAAATCTCAGGGCTCTAATTGTTTAATCCAAAGTTGATTTAATGCCAGGGTATTCTTCACTGTGTGAGTGAGGGGAGCACGCTGCTAGCTGTGCAGTGACTTTCAGACCAGCTTTTATCCAGTTAAACCTAATCCAAAGCTCATTTTTGCTAGTGACATAGAAGCCCAGGAGCACTTTGGTTTGAAGGCCCTTTAGTTAAGGCTTTGGACTGCTCTTGTTCCTTCGCTCTCCACTGAGAAGCAGAGGCAATGAGCATGGCAGCTCCTGGCACAGCAACCGGGCATTCGGTTCTGAGTTACTGTGACTTTGCTGTGTTAAAAAGTGGCAAATAAACAAATGCAAAGGATGACTTCTCCAAGAGGATTGCTTTGGAACCACTCCTGTTTATAAAAAGGAAAATACTCGAGATGAAATGTGAGCTTTCACCATCCAGATTCCTCCAAGGATTTGTAACTTGCAGGACCCTGGGTTGGGCCAACCCAAGGCGTTCCTCAGCAGCCCTTGCTGTTGCTGATGATGTTCCTGTGGTAGAATGAAGCGCTGCAATGAGAATCTTCCCTTTGCTGCATAAAGAGCCACCTGTGTTAAGTGAAGTTAGATGATCTGAGTATCTTTAGCATGTTTTTTACATACCCTAGAACTGAACTCAGAAGAATCCCCTCAGTATGAGGGCTTGAGGTTAAAAAAACACCAGCCCTAAGTGGGTCTTGGGCTGTTTATGTTTCCTAGAAGAGAAAGAGTGGAAGTTTGTAGTAGCCACTATCCTAAAGGACCCTTCTTCCATGGTTCTGATGCTGAACCACCAGCCTGGCATACTCAGGTCGGTAGGTACCAACTGAAGGTTATCCTTATACACAGCTGCATATGGAGCAAGGTTGGGAGCAAATTCATGCTAGAGCCATCCTTGCTGTGGAGCAGGCAGCTGGAAGGGATTTCCTTTAGCAGGAACTTGCCACTGGGCATGTGTTAATGTCCTTCAGAAATTGGGCGCTTATGGGAAGAAAGACAAGTAATTAGGTAAGGATAAACGATTCCCAGATCAGTGCCCCCTTGCACCAGCTCTGATTCATGTAGGCCCTGGGAAGCTTATGGCATTGATGGCTTTGGTCTGAGGACTTTCCTAGAAGAGGACCACTGTATCTGTAACTGTTCTGGATAAGCTGCTTCCAGGTCAGGTTGTTACTGGTGGTGTGGGATCCCAGTAAGGAATCTTCCTGGGAGTCCTTCTGGGGTGTCAGGGACTATCATGGTGTCAGTGGGTATAGCAGATCCTGCAGGCTGGCTTCCAGAGCTGTCCCCCACATGTTTTGGACCCTCAGGCTGGACACCAGGATTGCATGAAATGCCTGTGCAGAACTGGTTGCCATCCAACTCTGGATGGGGCAGATTTGTAGCTTAAGAGATTCCACCCCCACCTCCCACAGAGCTGTTTTTGAGGTCTCTGTGAATGCATGGGCCCTGGTCAGATGCAGCTGTGAGAAGGGTTGGTGATGTAAGGCCCCTTGGAGCCCTGTCCCTGCATGGTTGTGTTTGGGGTCAGAGATGATGGGGTGACTTCCCAGCCTGAGGCAGGATGCCCTGGGGCGATATCAGGATGGGACGAGTGCACTCGCCAGAGACAGTGCTGTGCAAACCAGACTGGGGCAAAAAAATCTCCGTTCCGAGTGCTTCAATCAATGTTTGCGAAACAGCCTGAGCAGCGGAGTGCCTGTGTGAATATGAGGCGTTGTACAGCACCCTGTGAAGCCTTTGTACCAGAGGTGGGTAGGGCTGGAGCAGAAATGCTCTTCAGGCACACTGTCTTTCCTCAGCCAGGGTTTGCCCACCCAGAGATGATGGCCATTTGCAAGCCCGTCACCCAGCAGAGCCGTGCTAGCTCACATCCCACCCTGTACCAACAAGAGTTCAGAAGCTGCCATAAGTCTCACTTTAAAGCAAATGGGGGCTGGTGCAGGTGCAAGGAAAGGGATATGGTCAGGTAGGAGGGGAGATAGTTCTGCTATGACTTTTCAGCGAGGTTGGGAGGGGAAAGGGTGATGGGGGCAGAAACCCTTCAGGATCCGTCTGATGAAATAAACAGTGCTTGGGCTGAAAGCTCCGAGCTTTACTTTGGCAGCTGAGGCAGAGGCTGCATTATCTAATGTCCACTGCTGTCCAAAACACACTGATGGGGAAATGTTTTCTTAGTGGCCTCTTGTTTTAAAAGATAATACTAACATGGGGCTGCCTGCCTTTGCCCTGGGTTTGTTTGTTCTGTGCAGGTTGCAGTGATGTACATTGACTGGTTCTCTTTGCTGTCTTGCAGTTTAAACTTCCAAAGGAGTACAGCTGGCCTGAAAAGAAACTGAAAGTTTCCATCTTGCCAGATGCCGTGTTCGACAACCCGCTGCATTAGAGCTGAATTACACCCTTCTAACAACTGGGAGAGCCAAGTTACTGTCCATTGCCCAGTGACTCACAGGATAATTAATGCAGTAAAAACTCTGCCGACAAATAAGAGTTTGCTGCGCAACCACTGCGAACAGAAGAGGAGCTACTCAGCACCAGCCCAGACCGAACTGAGCCCTATCCTTTATCCTTCCCAAGGCTGAGCTCTCTGGGAACAGCCTGCGTATGTGTGAGTGCGAGTGAGGAATATTTAACTATGAAAATCAGTAGTAAGAATCCTTTTTCTCTCTCCCAGCTCCAGAACTCCCCTCTGCCTTAGCTCAGGGTGTAGATGCTCTGCACGCCTGTATTTACACATGCGTTTCTGCCAGGTGCGAGCCTATAATCCATGGATTAAATGTTCTTTACGTGACTCTGGAGTCCTTTTGTTAGCCAAACTTTTACTGACTGCAGAACTGTTCTTCCATGTGCTATTTTTTTTCTTCTTTTCAGAAACGGAATGGTATTTCCCCTGTTTAAAGGAGGCCAAAAGCTCACATGCTTGAAGCTGAACAGATTTAAAGATGAACTTTCTAGTTCAGTCAAGAAAAACAAACCCAGATCCTCCCTGCCCTCAAATTAGGCATGTTTTAAGTGTTGGTCTTGGTGCTATTAGCTATGGTATCACTGCAAACAGAGGCAACTTTATTCTCACGCATCCTGTCCTTGTGCCTGAACCCCAGGGAAGGTCGCAACCCCTGGTTTTTGCACAAGCAGGAGGAAGAAAGCTACCGGGGTGGGGGAGATCTCCTGTTTACAGTGTGTTTATCTTTAAAGAGATACTGTCAAGTATTTTTTCCTTGCTATTGTACAGAATTTGAGAAGCTAGAAAGGACCATTTGTTCACAGGGACAACTTCAGCAGCTCTGCAGGATCCAGAGGGCTGCTTGAAAGCATATGAAACAGAGATCTCCGCTGCCCTGGCGCAGCAGAGAGGAGACAGCCTCAATAAAGCCAACTATTCTCCCTGTTCCAGCAGGGTTGTGCCCTAGCACAGCTCCATTTTCCCCTCTAGCCTCACTGTGATGGCTCTTCTTGTTATTGCCGATGTCCTTCCTTTCAGAGAGATTTGAGCTGTAAAGCATCAAAATCAGCTTGAAAAGACCTTCTCTCTAGATCCCCATGGCTTCCTCCTTGGAGCAAAATGTGGTGTGCAGAGGAGACAGTCTCTGCAGGGTCAGGTTGTGTCTCTGCATTGAGATGCTGGCCCCTGTGGATATGCTGCAGCAAACCACTGCAGGCTTTACCCCCTGCTGCTGTTGCAGGTTGTTTCTGATGCATATTCCCCACCCTTCTTCTGCCCATTGTCTTTTGGTGACAACTCTTCACTCCTTGTCAGGGGAGGTGCAGCTTTCCTTCCACCCCTTTTTGCCTACAGGAGAACTTAGTGATTTACTCACAGTTGCTGTGTGATCGGAGTACAAGTATAACAGAAGCTTTTAACACTCAAGTCCCCTGACCAAACAGCAAAGTCCAGGAGGCCTCACGGTACCCCAGAGTTGGTTTTCTGTTTGTTTCCTGATTTATTTTCTTCCTGGCACATTCAGCTTTGATGGTTTTTGCATATATTTGGGGCTGGTTAACGCTGGTCAAGGAGCAGAGCTAGGAGCCACAAAGCTTTCTTTGGACTTGCTACAGAATTCTGCTGTGGCTTCAGGCAAGTCACTCAATGTCTCTCTGTGCAGAGGGTGATTATTGACTAGAGGGCTGTAGGACCTACCGAAGCATGCCAGGGTTTGCAGGGGAGGGCGTGCTTTGTGTACAAAGTAGTATTTGTATTATTATAATTGTTGTTATATTATAATTTAAGACAGGCCAAATGCAGGGTCCAACACTGCTCGGCAGAACCTTCCTTTCTGCAAAGCTACGGAAGCAATTTACATGTAAATGAGCTTGTAATTTTGTCTGAACTCACAGGATCATCTTAGAATCCTGCTGCGAAAGAACAAACTTTCAGATATCTGCATGTGCCAGCCGGGGGGGGTTCTGTGCTGTTGCAGACTGCAGTCATCCGTGGGAGCTCTTGGCCAGTTTTCATTGTCCTGGTTAGCACGAAGCATCCTTTCTGCACTGGAGATGTATATGCAGGGGACAGCGTGGGTGAGAAAATGGCATAAAGATGTACCAGTCCAGCTTCAGAAATTACATGCCCCACCACCGGATAATGAACAAACAGAGGATTGTGGCAATCAAGGGAAAAAGGCAAGGGCAGCAACTAGAATTCTGTCCCAGAGCCATCCGCCAGCAGTAGCCCATGGGCTGCTCTTGTACGATGCTTGCTAGGGGTGTCTGCAGCAGAGCTAGGCCATCGCCATGGTGTTCGCTGCTCTTCCTTGTTTCTAGATGCTAGCTCTCATTAAAAAGAGCTTAAAATCCACATCTTGGTGTAGAAGGACATTTGGAAGGTCAATTGTTGATGTTCCCACAGAGATCAGCACGGGGCAGAGAGAAGTCCATCAGACCCTCTCTGGGCTCTGACACACATCTGGAAAGCTTAGGACCTCCTGCCCTATGAACTCCTTGAGCCTTCGCAGTGGGGATGCAGTGCTTTACGCAGGGAATGCACCTCCTCCAGGCTGGCTTGTGCTCCAGTTCTGCCTTTCTTATGTGTATGTTTTCCTCACATATTTACTCTCACGAGATGCGCTGGGTTGGGTTTTCATTGACTTCAGAGGGAGCGCGCTGAATGCATTTGAAAATCCACCCAGTATCTTTGTGTGTATTTTTGTTCTATGTCATGTATTTATATATAGTTCTGTGTATTTGAGTTATGAACAGGTGGCATGCCAGAAATCTCTATTTCTGAGACACTTTCTCACAGATCCTTGCTGGTAGCCAGATAACAATTGAGGGGAAAGTTTAAAGGCAAGGAAATGAAATCTTCCTATTTAGTTAAGGGGGGGAATATTAGACAAGTGCTAAAATAGAAATCTCTGTCTCTTACAGTAGGTGTAACACCGAGAGAAAGCGGTGAAAGTCAGCCTTGAAGCTCCAAGGTTGTGTCGCTGCCTCTCAACAGTTGTCTAAGGATAAGAAAGTTGCATGTTCCTCAGTATCGTGAATTGCTGCGCACCCACAGGACCTCCCCTCCCCTGACTCACATCAGGTTTGCAACCATGCCAAAGGCTTACTCACTGGCAACTAAATGAGATCTCAAGCTTGGATATTTTCGTCTTGGGACAAGAGGACATGCCTGTGTGTGAAGGAAATGGAAAAGAAACCGTTGTATTTGAGTGAGCATTTTCCCTTCAAGAAGGGAAACGCATCAGTGTTAATAACACCATGGTATTTGTCTAGCCCAAACCTGCTGAGATGCTAGGTCCCTGGTGCTGGGGTTTTGTAGATTGTGTGGAAGGTGTGAAGGAGGATTGTCTGAAAACAAAACCTGTGAGGCTTGTGTTGGCTAAAGATAACGTTCTGGGTGGAAATGAACGTGGTTCAGAAGCAGTGAGTGCAGGTTCTCTCCCTCCTGGAGAAACCTGGCGATGCAGGTCAATAGGGATATTGCCAGAGATGAAAGCCTCATGGCAGACCCGCAATGCCTTGAAAATCCAACATGTGACAGCAATTCTGAAATGAGAGAAGTCCCAAAAGCCAGGACTGTTCTCCCTCTCTACTTGTGATTAAGAACAGAAGGAATGTATAGTTTCACTCCTGAAGTATGTGGGCTATGATCTGAGCAGAACTTGTAGCTGGTGTGACCTACGGTGATATTTTCAGTGGCTCAGAGAGGTGGTGCCTGCTGTGTATCGTGTCTTTGAGGACAGTGATATATTGCACAGAGATTTGCCAACAGTGATTTGAAATTGTATTCTGAAGCTCTTCAAATACTCAGTTACTCTTGGATGGCTTTTGAAATTACACCAAGTCATCAAGTGGTCTTTGAAGAAGTGGGGGTTGTGTTGTTTTTCATCTGTGACCAGTAGAAATATTTAGGGGGTGTAGCTCTTAAAAAGAAAACAGTTGAAAGAGATGCTTGCCTTGGAGGGGGCAGATTGCTGGGGAGAGGTTGCGTGGTAGGGGAGCAGCTTCCTCCTGCACCCACAGCTCAGGCTTGTTCAGGGCAGTGCAGCCCTTACACATCCCAGGCGCTGCAAGGGGAGCTGATGTGGATGAAAGGAAGCCAGAAACCAAAGTGAGAATCATCAGGGCCTCAGCACAGTATGGGGCCCTGCAGGCAAGTCCTCATTTCCATGCCAGGACCCACTGAGGTCCTGCATGCCGCAGGCAGCCGCCACGCACATCCCACTGCATGTTCACGCTCTGATGGCAGAGACTGCAAATGGCTGCATCTGAGGTTGAGTCAAAGATGGGGAGTGGCAACGTGGCTGCTGCTGTGGGCTCATTTGTTATTCTAATCAGTGTGGGGTGGGGAGCCGAGCTCCTGCTCCGCTGCCCCTCGTGAGAACCTCCAGGCTGGTCACCGAGAGAGCCTTATTGTTCACCCGCCATCCCTTCCCTTCGGCACATGTCCCCCAGCTCCCCACGGAACCCTTTCTCTGGTGCTTCACTGGAAGGTGCTTGCCTGGCTGCGTGCTTTGCAAGACACTGGGTTAGATGACACCTGGGATCATGGCTGCTCGGCTGTTTGTCTGCCCTCCTTCCTCCTGGGTGGGCATCTGGAGTGCATGACCTGCTTTGCCGGCCTGTATCTGGCCAGGGCAAGGCAGTGTTGTGTCAGGTGGGGAGATGCAAAGACCTTCAGGCCAGAGGAAACCCTTAGACCTCTGTGTCCAAGCCAGCCCAGGTGAGGAGGGGATCCAGCACCGTGAGAGCCCTTCCACTTCCCAGGGACTTGGTCCTTTACGTGACTGCCCTCCATTTAGAGAATGTATTGTGCCTTAATTCTCCCCGTGAGTGAAGCTGCAAGGGCACATCAACTGTCGAGCAACCAGGAATCTCTTTGAGTGCATCTGTCCCTATCGATTAATGCCAGCCTGCGCAGCAGCCAAACTGTATCCAAAACAACCTCAAAATGCGTGTTTGCCAGTGGGGTTCACCTCCAAAGATGTTAAAGCTGGATTTAGGTCTCTTGGACCATGGCAGTTTGTAATGAGCTCTGCAGCAGCCTCCTGTTTTGATAATGTTTGTTCTGTTGTGCAGTTCTCTTTTCAAAAGAAAACCCTTGTGTTTGACGTTAGTCCAGAATTTCTAATGGAGAATAAGCCTGAGGTTGCAAATGTGTTTAAAACCCAGCCTTGCATCAACCTGTCTCTCTCAGGCAGTGAACCTGTCGTGTATCGTGCTTCACCACCTCTTCATTCCTACCATGGTTCTGTTTCCCCTAAAGCCGCTGACAGGCCATAAAATCATCATAAGCGGCACATCAGTTCAGAAACATGATTTCTGGGCTGCCGTGGAGGTGGTCCCTTC